ATAACAATATTTAGGACCTGCAATACAGTGTTACATAACAGTGGTGAGAAGAAGCATTCTTGTCACCTTCTCCGCCTCAGAGGGGGGCAAACTTTATTACGTCATCATTAAGTGTGATTTGGCTATAGATTTTTCAGGCAGTCACTTATCAGGCTGAGAAGATTTCCTTTTATTCCTACTTTCTGAGAGTTCCTTTTGTGAATGACTGTTGAATTTTATCAAATGTGTTTTTTTCTGCAGCTATTGAAATGACTATATATTTTTTCCTTTATCCTGTAATATGGTGAAATACTTTGGTTTGTGAATATTGAAGCAATTTTGCATTTCTGAGGTGAACCCCTCTATTGTGACCTTTCTTACATTTTATATGTTACTGCACTCAATTTACTAGTAGTATGTTGAGGACTTTTGAATCTATGTTCATAAGAGACATTGATCTCTAAATTTTCTTTCTTTGTGTATATGCATGTTTTTTGAGTTTTAGTGTTAGAGTTATGTTGGCTTCATAAAATGACTTGAGAAATATGTCTTCTCTATCTTCTGAAAACAATTTTAGTGGTGTTAGTGAAAAGATTTCTGTTATTTCTTTTAAAATGTTTGATAGACTTCACCAATGAAAGCACCTGCACCTAGAGTTTTCTTTATGCAAAAGTTTTTGATAATGGATTTGTTTTCTTTAATAGCTATGGAGCTATTCACATTTTCTATTTCATTTTGTGTTTTGTTAAGTTGTATTATTCAATTTTTTCACTTTATTTAATTATGTATTTGTCAGTATGAGGTTTTCCATAACACTCTCTTATAATCCTTCTAGTATCTATAGGATCTGAAATAATGAATCCTCTTTTATTACAGTTTTAGTAAATTATGTTCTTGATCAATCTAGTTGAGTTTTATTAATTTTGCTGATCTTTTCAGGACATTAGTTTTGGGTCTATTTTTTTCTTTTTTATTTAATTGATATATGCTCTGATCTCTGTCCTTTTCTCCTGTCTATTTACCTTTTGCTTACTCTGTATTCTTTTTTTTTTTTTAACCTTCTTAGGATGGAACTTGAGATCATTGATCTCAGGCTTTTTATTATTTGTATTTGGGCATCTAAAGCTATCAATCTCCCTCTAAGCAGCACCATACACGTTTTGATATCCTATATTTTCATTCAGTTTGGAGCATTGTCTAATTTCTGATTTCCCTTGTGTTTTATTTTTTTTTTAATTTTTATTTATGATAGTCACACAGAGAGAGAGAGAGAGGCAGAGACACAGGCAGAGGGAGAAGCAGGCTCCATGCACCGGGAGCCCGACGTGGGATTCGATCCTGGGTCTCCAGGATCGCGCCCTGGGCCAAAGGCAGGCGCCAAACCGCTGCGCCACCCAGGGATCCCTCCCTTGTGTTTTAGAATTCTGTTGTTTAATTTATAAATTTAGTGATTTTCCTACAAATATTTATGTTATTCATTTCTAGTTTAATTCCACTGTAATCAAAGAACATCCTCTGTGCGATTTAAATTTTTATTCATTTGTTGGCAGTTATTGCATGGCCAAAAAGCATATAGTGTATCATGTATCATTTACTGTACTATATCTGCTTGAAAATAATTTATATTCTGCAGTTATCAATTAAATCAAGGTAGTAATAGTGTTTTTTATTTTTATTTATCTTTTAAATTTTTTAAAAAGTTTTTATTTATTTATTCATGAGAGACACAAAGAGAGAGAGAGAGAGGCAGAGACACAGGCAGAGGGAGAAGCAGGCTCCACGCAGGGAGCCCGACGCGGGACTCGATCCCAGGTCTACAGGATCACGCCCTGGACTGAAGGCGGCACTAAACCGCTGAGCCACCCGGATTGTCCGTAATAGTGTTTTTTAGGTCATCTATATGTCTTTTTTTGTTTAGTTCTTTCAGTTGCTGAGAGAGCGGTGTTATATGGCTATATAATTTTGAAAAATTTTTTACTTCATGTGTTTTAAAGCTCTGTTATTAGGTCCATTTGCATTTATAATTATTATGTATTCTCATAAATTGATCCTTTTATCATTATAAAATGTCCCACTCTATCTCTAGTGATTCTCTAATCCTGAAATCTACTATACATGTTAGGTATAAATGTAGTACCTCCAGCCTTCTTATGTTTGCATTGCATTTTTTCAATACATATATTTTCAGCCTCTCTGTGTATTTATAAAGTGCTTGTGTTATAGACAGTAAAAATTGAGTGTTTCTTTTTTACACATTCTGCCTATTTCTGCATTTTAACTAGACTGTTCAGTCTATCAACACTCAATGTTATTATTGATAGAATTAGCTTTAAGTGTACCATTTTATTATTTGCCTTTTGTGTGTCCTATCCGGATTTTTTCATTGTTGTCTTACCTCTGTTGTTGTTGTTGTTGTTGTTATTGTTCTTCTTCTTCTTGCTGTCCCTTTAATATATAGTAGAATTCCAATTTAATTTATTATCATTTTGGCTTTTTTGCCTATCTCTTAGTGTTTGCTCTAGCAATTACAATTTACATCCATAACCTTTTACAGTTTACTTAAGGTTAATTTAGGGCAGTTTCATGTAAAATATAGAAATGTTGTTTTATGTATTGTATTTATGTCTACAATTTTTGCTTTAAGCAGTTATATGTATTTGAAAGATTAAGACAAAATAGTCTAACATATTGACCATTTCTGATGTTCTGAATTCCTTCCTAAAGACTGGATGTTCTCCCTGGGATCATTTTTCTTCAGTCTGAGGAGCTTCCTTTAATGTTTATCCTGGTGACACAATCCTTCTATTTTTCCTTTACCTGAAAGTATCTTTCTCTTGCCTTCAATCTTGAAAGATATTTTCTGTCAGTACAAATCCGAGTTAACAGTTTTTGACTTTTTTCCATTCCTTCAGCACTTCAGAGACCTCATTCCACTACTTTTGAGCTACCTATCTCACTGTCAGTCCACATTAATAGTCTTTTCACGTGAGCATAGATCAGCAACACACATTTGTATGTTGAGCATTTTGGGGATTTTACAGGCATTATGAAAATTATGTGTCATTTTAAAAAATCAGGCAGTTAGGGACACCTAAGTGGCTCAGTAGGTTAAATGTCTGACTTTTGATCTCAGCTCAAGTAGTGATCTCAGGGTCTTGAGTTCAAGCCCTGCATTGAGCTTCAGGTTGGGTATGGAGCCTACTTAAAAAAAAAAAAAAAAACACTTAACTTGATTCAGACTGCAAGCTCTGCCTCACATGCGGTGGGTGGGAGCTCAAATTTCAATTCAATCTTTGAGCATTAGCTTTACTGCCAAGCATGATTCCGGCATCTGCTAAGGATTTGGGCAAAATTTATGCACAAAGTTGAAGGCTCCGCAGTCTGGCTTTCTTTGGGATTTCCTTGCCTTAGGACTTTCACTGCTATGGTTGCCCTAACAGTGTCTTCAGCAATCCTGAAAGGCTTCAAGTTTTCCATCATAGTTTCAGTTGCTCCACCCAGACAGATTGAGCATTGCTATTAAGTTAAAAGCCATTGTCTTCAGGTAATTAAAAAAAATTTTTTTCCAGAAGTTAAAAAAAAAAAAGTCTAGCTGTCATCTGTGGGAGGGTTGGCTTCATAGCAGTTATTTAGCTGTGACCAGAAATGTAATTCCCCCCCAAATTATGACTTCATAATGTAAATATTATCATATCACAAACACATCCCTCTCACACACTTAAAATTTTTCATTGGTGTCCCACTGCATTTAAAACAAATCCAAGCTTTGTACATTCTCCTTGCTCTTAGCACACCTGCCCAGTTCTTCCTTAATGCAATGCTTCATGGACTTCAGTTACTATTCTCCTAGACCTCAAGATTTCATGAGGCAGAACTGCCTTCTGTTGAATTCTGCTCTATCTGTAGGTGAGAGAAAAATTTTAAAATAGTCATGCCAGTGAGATTAATGATTAGAGGTGTATCTCGCCATTGTTTAATTGCATAAGGTTATCCAGAATTAGAATAACTGGCTATAGTCATAGATTTATATGATGAAAACAGCTTAATATTATTGACGTGTGCACAAGATGGATGAATCTTAAGGACATTATATGAAGTGAAGTAAGTTGGAGAAAGACAAATACAGCATAATCTCACTTATATGTTGAATCTAAAAAAAAAGAAAAAACAGAAAAATGAACTTAGAGAGTGAATTGGTGGTTGCCAGAGGTGGGTTGGGAAGTGGGTGAAATGGCTGAAGGTGATCAAAAGATACAAATTTCCAGTTATAAAATAAATAGTCATGGGATGTAATGTACAACACAGTGACCATATTTAATAATACTGTATTATAGATTTGAAAATTGGTAAGAGAATAAATCTTAAAAGTTCCCATCACAAAAAAAAACTGTATTTATGGTGGTGGATGTTAACTAGATTTATTGTGACCATCATTTTGCAACACATACAAATTTTGAATTATTATGTTGTAGACCTGAAACTAATATAATGTTATATATTGATTATATCTCAATTATATAGATATCATCAAAAGCCTCTTAGGGGGTTAGGAGGGGAAAAACGCCTTTCGTGCCTGAAAACTAGGATTGACTCTTTAAATCAGAATTTCATCATTATGCTATTGAAGTCTGGCTATTGAATTATCTGAAATTTCTCCAAAACTTTTATATGACCTGGTATTTATAGCTATCATTATAATATGAGATGAATTATTACCACAAAAGCAAACAATGTATGTTTCTCTATAATCCTTATTATGCTTAAAACAATGAACAAATGCTAATGACTTTAAACATAATTTTATTTCTTTCTGTTCACCTCTTTCAATTGCTTTTTTCTTGGCACAAATTTATTTTCTCTTCTAATTCATATTCAACAGTATAATTTATGTTCTCATAATAGTGTTAGTTAAGTGGTTTATAATTCTATTCTTTCATTGCTTGAGGAAGTTTAATAGAAAAATTCTCCTTTTTAAAATATTTGCAAATGATAACAAATGATATGTGCCTTCAATTTCACAGATTAATAAACAGAAGGAGGACATGGAAATAAGGAAAAAGTTGGACAGCTCAGGCAGCAAGGTTTGCATTTAATTTTTTTTCTTCTCTTATTCTATGCCAGTCTTAATCTGACATCTGGGTTGAAGAATGTGTACATACTGTCCTGAGACTTTTCACTTTCCAAAATCTGATTTTGAAGGAGAAAATGCTTAAAAGTGTGGATGGGAGTCCAGGATCCCGATGGCTGAGGTCCACAAGACGGTATAAACCAACAAAGAAGGGATGCCCAGCTGAGGGAGAGGGGAAGGTGTCATCCTGGTGCACTAAGCCCTAGTTAGGTTCATACCCTATCTCCTTGGGTTCCTGTCCCTTCACTCCAACCTTTTATTCCCCTAACTTCCTACAAATAAGATACAGTCCTCAAGCTGCCACTTCACCCCACTCCCTCCTTTCCAGGTGCTTCCAGAAAACACTGATCTGTTGGTATGTTTTTCTTAGTACAATGGCATCAGTGGGAGGGGTGGAAAAACAGCCCCAGCCTACACATTAAATCGGGCCAAAAAAGGAGTGTGGGACTGGGCAAAGGAACAGATCTACGCCCTTTGGGACTGAAAACTTGACCATGCAATGCCCCCTCAAGGGAGGAAAAGAAAGGGATGCGATTCTGAAGAGTGAAGTGAGAATAACAAAGCCCCTTCTCTTTGTGTGCCAGAGCCTGAAACCAGTCAAAGTGAAAGAAACCGCTTTGTCTCCGTGGCCCTCACAGCCCAGGATTCCATCCAGAAATAGAGCCATTTCAAGGTCACACTCACCCTCCCTCACTGTAGCGACTGTTAAGACCAAGATAGTTAAGACACCAAAGAAATCTGCAAAGGAAGAGCAGCCCGTGGTAAGAACCAGTCCTCTGACCCCACCCTAGGACACCCGCGTCCACACAGGGCCCCTACTGTGTTAGCACTATTGTGACCTCAAGGCCAACGGCAGCAAGGCCAACTGTCTCATACATCAGGTTCCCCTACTCTCTATGCCTGAGCTGGGCAGGGAGGTCTCTACACCAAGGTGTTCTTGTTGGGTCCCCCTGACTGCCCAAGAGGATGCCACCATTATCCACAAGTTGATGTTTAATTTAGCTTAGCCACTAAGGCTCAGTGGCTCTCTATTAAATTAGCAAGACAGAAAAGCCATGTTCCAAGCACTTTCTAGGGTGTATAATTCCTAACTCATTACTGCCCAGGACCTGTCCAGCTTACTGAAAAGGGCACTTGGGTGGCTCAGTGGGTCATGATCTCAGGGGCGCGGGATGGAGTCTGCTTCTCCCTCTGCCTGTGTCTCTGCCTCTCTCTATGTGTCTCTCATGAATAAACAAAATCTTAAAAAAAAAGAGAAGAAGAATCAGCATACTGAAAATCCCCTGAGGGTCATGCAGCCATATAGTCCATTTTCTCATAGTATTCTCAGTTGACAACTGGATGAACTCACATCACCAGAGACACGTGTGCATGAATGATATGCTATTACTCTCCCAACCCATCATCCCCCCCAAATAATCAGAATTGCTTTTTACTGGACCCGAGGCAGCACTACTGGTCTGTATAAGAGAGCATGTTAAGAGGTAGCTCTCTGACAGTCAACTCAACGTTGACTTGGTGTGTGGACACCGCTAAAGCTCTGCTCATCATCGTGCATGACACGACCCTGCCCTTTAGAATGTTCCTGTGGAGATCTTGCTTCTGCTGTGAGCTACAGGAATTGTAGTTCTCTGAGCAACTGATCTGGCCTGTGGGCACCGTGAATTGTATAACTCGTCAAAACTCTTTTTCCATGTTGATTTTTAGAAAGCTTTGAAGCCCCCTGGTGATACATGGAGCCAACATGTAGCCCTTCCCATACTCCTCTGCCTGGCTCCTGCACCTCACCTTGTTCTTTCTCTTACTCCTGTGGGGGCAGAGTCTGCCTCTCTCACACTTGGGGCAGGAGGAGCAGAGCAGGATCATGCTGCCTGTGTCATCCTTGTTTCAAATGCAAAGGTACAGACCCCTCATGCCCACCACCCACTGGGCAAGGCTCATGGCTCTTCCCCAGCAGAGGAGCAAGCCAGAGGTAGAGAAGAGAGGCCCTGGTGTAGACCCCAGGGGCTGAGATAAAGCATTCTCCTCTGAAAGCATTTCCACTTCCAATCAGGAAGTATAGACAACTGGAAACCAGCGTAATTTCCAAAGGAGGAGAATGTTATTTGGGGGTGGGGGGGGTGGGGGGAATTTGGTGCATGACCAACCAGCGCCTAGGTTCTAGAAGGAAGATGTTTAGAATGCAGTTCTTAGGGAAGTTTTTTGTTTATCCATTTGTTTGTGTGTGTGTGTGTGTGTGTGTGTGTGTGTGTGTGTTTGTGGGGTTTACTTTGCTTTGTTTTTGTTTTTTGTTCACCAAAGAACAACAAAAAAAAAACTGAACAAAAAGAAATCTAGCCCCGAGGCTGAGTGTGCAATGCTGTCGGCTGACCTGGGGGACAGGTCAGCCAGACTGAGGGAGGGGTTCTAATGTCAGCCTCAGACTTAGGGAGCATATGGCTAAGGCTGTGCCCTGTTCCAGAATGTTCCATCAGCTGCCATGAAATCAGGTCCCTTGGCAGTGGGGAGTGGAGGGGGTGGGCAGAGTCTGGGGTCTTAGGCTCTGAGAGGATGACGGGAGGACTGCAGAGCAGGGGAGGTGTGTGGGACCGAGCAGCAGATCCCCAAGATCAGAGCAGCACGGGGAGCTGCCCCAGGCCCTAACTAAACCCTACAATGGCAGATTTAAAAAACTCCAGGGTTCTGGATTTCCAGCTGAAATTTGAGCTTCCAAGTTCACAGCCACAAGGGGCAGAAATAACCAACTGTCCTCAGTCACAGAAGATGCATCGTAAAGGAGAGACAGGGCTGATAGGATCTCTCAGAGGTGTCAGTTCAGTGGGATGTTCTGTTAGAGTCAGATCTCCCCTTCTGACCATATAGGATTGTTATTTTGATGTTGCCAAAGCCTCACAGTGTGTGTTGTCGGCTGGAGAGACTCAGAAGTTAATGTTTAACTGTAAGTAAAAATTAGACCAGAGGAGGGGGGAGGTGACATAAGCTGGTGTGCACATATTTCTATTAATTGACTCCATTTAAAACTGAAGTATATTTTTCTAGGTCACCATTAACACTATCATATACATTTTCATTGTTAGTAATTTCCATAGAAGTGCCCCCTTATATCTGACCTTTCCATGCGGCACCGTCTTCACTGCAGATTAACTTGATGCATTATGCACACTCACTTTAATTTTCCTCTTTTTTCTTTTTTAAATCTTTCATGACATTGACGTAGCTGGACTTCTTAAAAATTGTCTTTAAAGGGGTTTGCGACATGTATCGCATGTAAATGACCAAACGGAGAGCTCGCCGAAGGAACTTTTTACATCAGTCATTTATCTTATCTAATTAATCATACTTATTTTTTTGAAATCTGTGTCATTCGGTGGGAACAGCACACGTGCTTCACATAGTGGAGTACACAGTGATAAACTGAGTGTTTAGCCAGTCTGAAAAGCACGATAGGAACATTGCTGTTTGATTTCTATTTATGAAAGATTTCACAACATAAAATTTGTATTTGCACAGTGTTTTGTGTAAAGTTTATTTTTTGATATCTGTGAAACATTTCAAATACTAAAGTTTCACGTAACAAGGTTAGATTGGATTCCCAGGGGTTTCTGCAAACCTCTCTCCTCCCCCCTCCCCAGGGTAATTAGTTAATTAAGGTTGCACCCAGTAAATGCTTCCCTGGAAGACTTCTGAGCTTCCATGGGGTAACCTGGTCTATGCTGATAGAACATATGGTGTGTGCTTAGATCTGCAGAAAGCATTAGGACTGTCTGTGTGGGAAATGGGACATGGACAAAGTCAATCACGTCCGCATCCTTAAAGTTCACTCACTACAAAGCAATTTGTACAGCATAGAGGACTTCAATAAAAACTCTAGACCATTGTTCTTTTCACATTTAAAAATTGTCAGGTAAAATATTTTCTTGCAATTATGATCACATTCACCCTGCAAACTAGTGATTTAATAAAAATATTATTATAAAATAGAGAATGATTGTTATAGGATTATAGGCTAGGTAGGTGAGGGGAAAAAAATCTTTCTTTCTGAAATTGACCATTGTCCTCCTATGCAAGCCTCTTATTTGATTAAATTCCACATGAAGCTTGAAATAAACATCACCAGAGAAGAAAATAATATAATCTGTTTATTGTTTCATTATTTCATTCTTTTTAATCTTGGCTTTGCTTGGTAGGGCAGGCAGTTAAGAGTTCTGCAGAGCAACATGGGAAAGCCTGCATTTTGCCATTGTGGATCTGGCCAGAGTGGATGGCTGTTTGATCCAAAGATAGGATCATCCTGTGCATGTGCATGGTCTTCAGAGGCTGGCAAAGGATATTCACTGTATTTTGAGAGACTTTGTTGACACAAAAGAGTTTTCCATATTGTACTAGATCTTTCATCAAATAGCTTTACAATGTAGGGATTATTAGAATCATATACTCTATACTTGTTTTATTTCAAAATCAAAATTTTCATTTGCCACTAAAATGAATTCATCTTTAGATTATGCTCTCCAGAATTGGCAAGCTGAGTTATATTATATATAGAAGTCAACTGAAAGTGGCTATTACTTTCTACATTGTCTTATTCTGAGTAGTTCGATGATAAATTAAATACTTTCAGTATATTTGGGACTGAAAAGATCTTAGCGAAAATCATATTCAATTTTTTTTTGCACAAAGGAAAAATGTTTTTAGATAAGAATCACATGATGGGGGATCTCTGGGTGGCTCAGCGGTTTGACGCCTGCCTTTGGCCGGGGGCGCGATCCTGGAATCCCGGGATCCAGTCCCACGTCGGGTTTCCGGCATGGAGCCTGCTTCTCCCTCTACCTGTGTCTCTGCCTCTCTCTCTCTCTCTCTCTCTCTCTCTCTCTCTCTCGAATAAATAAATAAGGATAAGGTATGGGAAGGGGGATTCATATGGTAAGGGCTAGTGATAGGGCTAGGATGGGTGCTAGGATATAGATATAGAGGATGTGAGGGGTCCTAGGGGTTCCTTTATAAAAAGTTTTACTGCATCGGGGATGGGTTGGAGAAGACCATATGGTCCTACAATATTGGGCCCTTTTCGGAATTGTATATAGCCTAGAACTTTTCGTTCAACAAGGGTAAGAAAGGCTGCGACAAGGAGAATTGGAATAATTAATGAGATAATATTGATAAAGCTTTAAAAAAAGAACCACATAATGGGTTTTATTTTTTTTATTTTTATTTTTTAAAGATTTCATTTATTTATTCATGAGAGACACAGAGAGAGACAAAGACACAGGCAGAGGGAGAAGCAGGTTCCCTGCAGGGAGCATGACATGGGACTTGATCCCGGGTCTCCAGGATCACACCCTGGGCTGAAGGCGGCGCTAAACCGCTGAGCTACCCGGGCTGCCCACATAATGATTTTTTTTTTCTCTCTCTCTTTTTTCTTTTTTTTTAAAATAAATTTATTTATTATTGGTGTTCAATTTACCAACATACAGAATAACACCCAGTGCTCATCCCGTCAAGTGCCCCCCTCAGTGCCCGTCACCCATTCACCCCCACACCCCCCCCCCGCCCTCCTCCCCTTCCACCACCCCTAGTTCGTTTCCCAGAGTTAGGAGTCTTCATGTTCTGTCTCCCTTTCTGATATTTCCCACACATTTCTTCTCCCTTCCCTTATATTCCCTTTCACTATTATTTATATTCCCCAAATGAATGAGAACATACACTGTTTGTCCTTCTCCGATTGACTTACTTCACTCAGCATAATACCCTCCAGTTCCATCCA